CTTTCAACAAAACTACGGCCGTTTGGGAAGATCTCATACGCCCGAAAAATTACCATCAAATGTTAAGACTTTACGTTAAAGGTTTCCTCCTTCGAACCACTGTTTCAGAAAAATTTTGTGTGTGCCTCTAGCCGTCGGCCAGGCTCGCTGGGCTTCTGCGGCGATTTTCAAATCATGCGCCTCGCCATCATTACTTTCATAGTTTACCTCACCTGGCATGTTTTATGACGCAAAGTGTAGAGTTGCTATTCTGCAATTGAGCGCACCGTGGTTCATCTATACATACTGAAATACTAACCACGCAGGCGATTTTTGTTTTTTGGCATCGACGGCCTAAAATTTGAGCCAATTAACTCGCGGGCCAACGGCGCGCAAGTCGGTTAGCCGGCGATGAGCCTGAATAAGTCGTGCGCGCAGTGTAAACAGATAGTCTATCCGTTAGAACAGTTAAAATGTCTTGATCAGGTCAGTCAAAATTCTGTGAATTTTCACACCGATTGATAATATCTCAGAAGCGTGTGGCACTTATAGTGTCAGATTTTCTTTTCAATGACCTGTCTTGTTTTACCCCAGCGCATTTTGTCCTTTTTGTGTTGAGTGTAACATCGTGCTGTGCTGATTCGTCGGGTATCGTGGCACATTTCGCAAAGGTCTGGCACCACCGCCTTCGTTGGTGTATTCGAGAGACTCCTCACTGATTTAGGCGAATATCACTATTACCACAAATTTTTTGGCTCGTCATTTTTTTTACCTGTGAGGAGTTTATGAAAGGCTCCGTAAGATTTTAATAATGAATAGAACGTTAATTTGGTTTATATGCTCTGCGACAGCGTTTTTAAGTGTTTGCTCCAGTCGCTCTCCGCCTCTGTGTAAGGTGTAACGTTTTTTTAAATATGAGTCCCGGCGACTTACACGGTCTCCACGTGCATGTGATGAGAGTGTTATTGACACAAATCAGTGATACCTACCGCGCCATTCGGCGACTATACAGTCGAAAATGAGGCACTTATCGTGCAGGTCCGATTTGCATGTGACGAACTAACAAGAAATTGTCTATGAGGTTGTGGTAATAGCATCTGCCCGCGGCAAAGGATGTCAAACAGTATTTAGCGTATCTGGTCGAATTTCGGTTGGATGCCCCATTTGACATCCCGTACACAAGATGTTTATCCTTTTGATTAGCGCTCGTGTACCTATGGTGACACGCCAGTGTATGCACTACACCACTGGTGCACAGTGGCGATCAGTTAGTTTTCATCTACGGAGTTACCATGCCAAACATGCTCAGTGTAGATTTACAAAAGTGGCTACTGACCGGGAGTCAGTCAGGTACAAGCGTCGCTCTGGTATGCGTTGGGCTGACTGCGACTGGAATATCCGTTTTCCAAATAGTTGAACTCCATTCAAACGGGTGCTTTTTACCCTGATGACAAATTCAGGGGGGATAAAATCCACTTGCGCTATAAGTCCGCAGTTCTGATGAGTGGAGCAGCTCCCACTAATTTTTGCCGCCTCTAGTCGTGATGATTGGCTCTTTTGGATAGATAGTCCTGTCCGGTGCTACAACCATAACAGGCAGTGATGATATTCGACATCAACTAGATGTACAGAGCCGGATGTCAATCACAAAAAGGTAAACCAGACTGCCTAAAACCATGTTCACATAGGGGTTAAATTCATGGCTTTAATTAGCGAAGAAAGGAAACCAAAGCGGTTGGCAACAATGAACTGGCCGAGCTTACGTCGCCAGGGTAGGCGGCGAACGACGGCCACCACAACTTACCCACATGAAAGCTTCAACGACAGAAATCAATTTGAACAGTGCAAAGGCTGGATGGTGAAGAATGTACACAGATAATAAACCGCCAGCTCTGTAGTCCATCGTCTAGCTACAGAAGTCAAAAACGTATGCACGAGTTCAGGCAACACAGATCTGAGTTGAAGAAAGTCCTCAGCAAGTATAAAAGCAGAAAGTAGGTCCTCACCGCTGAATAGTCTTACTTTTCACAAATTAAATGTCAATTCTACAGCCATTATGGCTGCGTTCCAAAAAATGACCCTGTTATTGGGGCGGGCGAAAACAAATTCTACCACAACGCGTCCATGAATTCACCGGGAGCTGCTCTGGTATGCATATAATACAACAAATTACTCAGGGTCACGCCAAATAAGACATGATCGGGCCACTACAGATTGAACGCGGTAGATAGCAACACAGCATGAGGAAATGCAAAACCAAGGACATGTACATATCACGGGAATGGTGCTTATGGTCTCCGGGAGACCGAAAATTGTAACGGTGAGACTAGAGGTGTGATACGAAGCTTGATACTCCCGAAACTATTAAAATTACTGTGACACCGATGGTGCTGTGCCATTTTAAAGGACAGTGGTCATAGAATCATGCTTGCAAGACTTTGCTGCATGGCAGAATATATACCGAACGACTTGCCCCCTCGGTTTTACAAAAGAGTGAACTTTGGGATAAATGAAATATATATATAAGATTCAAAACCGGTTCAATCTGTTCATGGTAGAAGGAGAGCCTTGAAAATGACCGGCGTGAATGTACATAAGCAAATTTTTGTACCCCGTTTTTGTCGCTCTGTGCCGCACAAATTACCGAGACAATGAAGGAGGATGATTTGAAGGAAACGAAATTCCGGGGAAATTAGCCGCAACTTACCAGGAGTGGATCAGATTTTTTGATAATCTTACTGCAGCAGGTTTTATGTACGCCTGAGTTGAAGGCTTTTTCCTTTGATCCTCTCCAATCTCAGGCTAATCCGCTATCTGTTGGGGACAAAACCGTTCCGATTCTTAAAGGTTCTCAAAAGCGAAAACTTCACCAATGTGTGCCCTTGGGGCCCTTTGGAATCAGAACAAGATATTTCCTGAAGAGAGTGGCGTGTAAGACATTTTATCGCCTCCAAATGCTCTCTGTTGCATGTAGAGGTTTTTGCCACTGCAGCTTGCTCAGTTAGCCAGTAGTTATCAGCACCCCGAAGACGGTCAAGAGATCAGTGGGTGCATTTCTACAAGCAAACAAGACGCTGGATATAATCCACTGTCTTCTTGTAAGTGTCAAGTCATGCACTGCCGACCAACCGACAAATTCTGGCGGAAGTGATATGGGGAGCTTGAAAATGTGATGCATACAATTTATACCTATTTTAGTGAAGCCTTCAAACGGGTGCAACATGTCACGATTTTCACTTGTGTTTCAACCTGCTGACATCAAAAGGTCCCTGCCTATGTTCAACAGTAGATAGTGAGCCAGCGTTATTGTCTCAGAAAAGACACTATCCAACGTCGATTTACCATTAGTATTCGTTCCCGGAATCAGGCTCAATTCTAGTTGTGTGTGGTTTCAGCGCCGGACTGCATTTGATCTAGCATCTTGCTATTCGCGGATGTTTGGAAACTGCTTTAGGCGGTGGATTCCGCTAACGCTGAGTACAGGCGGTGAGAGAACATTGGGAAGCTAGTGAACTTGTGCTAAGAACTGAAGTAAGAACTCCGGCTCGAGGTGGCAGGCCGGTCGCCTTATTTCTTCCGAAGGGCGTTCGAGGTTCACATTCCATTCGCCCGTATGCATTATCTCCACAGGCTGTATTGCGGGGGGCTGGTTGAACTATTCTCAAAGTGTACGACCCATCTCTCCAGTCGACGGGTTTACGATTGAATTAATGAGCCATCTTTTTTATTCATTGTTTCACTGACTGTTTCCTTAGGGCCAGCCAATCGTATCAGTTGATATAGAGCACTATTATTTCCCGTAGCAAAGGCCTTCTCCATCTCCCCAGCTTTCGATGTCCACCAGAGCTCTCGGTCTTTCCTTAGACTATTCACTATTTGGCGTTCGAGGGATTTGCGTGCGCCGTCGTACTCGTTGCCTGCTGGTATGGCTTTCCTGGCATCAATCATGAATAACGACCTCGACGACATCCAGTGGTCCCGTGGTCGAATTGGAGAAGTCGGGCAGGCAGCACTGAACGCCGCTAGTATAGCTCCTTTCACATTTTGCCACGCTTCATCCACATGTTCACTGCCACCACAGTATTGTTTTACTGTGGAGAGTTGTTGGGCTAGCTCAGATCGATACTGTTGAGCTATGGCAGTTCTTCGAAGATAGTGGATTGGCACGTTTCTTGCCGACTTGCGAGGGCCTGAAGGGAAACGAACTGTCAGGCGTGCGCGCACCATGGCGTGATCGGAATCAAGTGGTGTGCCCCAGAAGGAACGGCAGTCTTGAATTGTGGCTCTCTACCGGTGACTGATGGCCACGTGATCCAACTGGGTCCACGGTTGATTTGTAGTTGGTGGCCGCCAGGTTACGCGGTGCGAACACTTATGTTGAAAGCTTGTACTTACCAGAAACAGTGCGTGATCAGCATACAACTGAAGAAGTCTATCTCCGATGTCTCTGCGGCGAGCATCGACTCCGAATCGACCACCCAAATGTGGTTCCAAGGAGCCCAGACGACCTACTTGAGCATTCAAATCGCCTGCAAGTATCACGATGTCAGTGCATTTTGCTTGGCGAATGAGCCCGGATAGCTCTCGACAGAAAGTATCCTGCACTTAAGAACTGCAGTCCGTTGGGGCATAAGCCGACACTACAAACAGGCACCGCTTTTTAAGCCGAGAGACATTGAGGTTGATTGAACTGGTTAACCGAACAGTGCAAAGACGACTGTTCACTGGGATCCAATCCAGTAGAGCGCGTTCAGCTCTGGGGCTGAGTGCAACTCCCACGCCATATATTCCAGGAGTCATTGCTTCTGGGTCACCGGACACACGGAGGAAGAAATTTGGAAGAGCTGTGTTCTTCCTTGGCGTTCTGAGATGCACAACCACGCTCGGGTCATGTATGCGTGTTTCGGAGACACAGCATACATCACTTTTAAGGGAGTGCACGGTGTCAGCAAGCATTGCCTGCAAGCTTTGCCAATTTGACATAGAGTACGGACGGTAAAAGGTCCTCAATAGAAGGAATCTCGCGAATTTAGAAGGGTGCTATTTTGTGTATTGTTAATGGGCGGGGGCGAGATGACCCACGTGTTTAAGGCGCGAATTTACTGACCGCGCTTACAGTCGGGAGTAGTGAGTCTAGAATCAGCAATACGGGGGTTATGCCATGCTTCTATAATGATAACATCAAGAAGAAGGCACCGATTAGCCCTAATTGGCGGAGGCCGACCATGCCAATCCACATTCTCCGTTATTTTAATGGAACGAAGTGCTGTAGTGTCCTGTAGGCAGACTATAGGTGGTGAGATTGCGTTCTGTGTCCGCTAATTAGCAACCGTGTGGTGATACAGACGCTTGGTCTTTCCTCGGTCTTCATGGGTCTGGTGCGGGCTTATTTAGAGTGATTCGTATATCACACAATAGATGCATTTTAGCAGTGAGTGGGATTATTTTAAAATTTCGGAACTGGCTTTCGAGAGATGCGGCCAATTGCCGTCCGTGACATGAGGACGGATGTGGACCAGTGCTCCCAAGACCACCTTAAATTACTTCCTGTGGTTACTCCTAGTCAAAACCTAGAAACTCCCCATCTGGTTGCATTACTGATGGTTCTGCTGGATTTGGTATTGTTATAGGCACAGAGCTGAAAGGTCTCTTATTGAATGGATGCTTGTTAAAGTTGTCTCTTTGCGGCCCCTTCGGGCAACTCGTGTAAGACTGCCCCTTAAACGCACCAACACTCACTGCCTGTTCGTTGTTTATGCTTACGCTCTAGCACATTCTAGCCTTGATATACTTAAAGACAGTTTTTACGACGCTTCGAGTGCACTGGTGCGTTATGGTTGCTGGGGACGTGAACGCACAAGCAGGTAGACTTGGGGTTGCTGAGGATCAGTCAGATAGTCGTTGCGTATTCAGCCTGGTAGAGAGCACAATATCACTCACTAACCTGTCGGGAAAAAAGAGTATCTGCGCGGAATAAGAAGCTTGGTGGATCCAGAAAGCTAAAGAAATGAAGGAGGCGATAAAATCGGAGCGTGCTCAAGCTACTCCAGCTGATGAGCGAGATGGCCCAAGTGGTTAGAGCGAGAATTTACTGACCGGAAGGTCCGTGGTTCGAATCCGACCTCCGCCACTCGACTTCCTCTGTCTAGGCTTGGGCAACCTGGTAGTATCCCAGCCCTTGTGCTTCCTTCGGGTGGCATGGCAGCTAGGCACCGAAAGGGTGCTACAGCTGAACGCTTTCTTTCTTTTCTGATACGCGTAACGGGCCCAAAGAAGCCTCTAGTGGGCGGAACGGCTCGCTTATCTGAGACAAAGAAGATTTCCTGAATCGTTGGACTGAACACTTTCAACTGGTCAGCTGTAGTTACTCAGTTGGATTCTAAAAGGGCAATCAACCCTGGAAAGTTATTTGGAACCACCACCGACCCCGGAAATAAGCGAACTTTTTCCCTCGATGTTGGCGAACCGCTGGCCCTAATGTGCTCCCACCCGCTGTTTTCAATGATGGAGTTGAATGCAGATACCTGACTAACTTGTGTCTTCATCCGGGAGAAGCGAACCGTCCCAGCTAACAGTTGGGTCGATAGTGGTGCCCATTTTTAAAAAGGGTGCTCGCGGTATGGCAATCAGAGAGTAATTAGCTTAGGCCCGTCGTAGATGGGCGTTTTGTACCGCTTATTTTGCATTGTGAAAAGGGAACCCGAGAACAGCAAGCAGGATTTCGGTCTGGAAGGAGCTGTGTGGACCCCATCTTCTCAGTCCACCAATTGTATTGGAGGCCATGGAATACTGTGCTTATCTTGGGAATTGCAGTTTCTCTGACGTTAGTCTGACAGACAAAGTCGGCACATAAATCTCGAAGGCTAGAATTGCATTTGCCAATCCACATCAGAAAGGACTAACATCGGGTCCTAAGGGACGCATTTATCAGAGTACATTGCGAGTTTTATTGTTGTACGCCTGTGGGACTTGACTACTTCATGCGAAGGATCTGGAATGTTTCCAGGTCTTTGACTACCGATGTCTCAGAAAAATTAATCCAATCAGGTGGAACTGGTACGGGTTTTTGTTGAAGCAGACAGCAATTCCATAAAGATGTCCTTCCAGCACTGCAGGGTAAGGTGGCCGGGCCGTGCGTTACGCACGCCGAGTTACCGGCCGCAAAGACGTGTTCAGTTTCCCTACCTAATTTGAAGTGGTGGAAACCTACAAGTGGACAGAATTTGACACGGTAGGACGCAATGGAAGGTGTTACAAAATGTTCGGATGCTGTTTGTGCTGTTGGACCTCCCTGTGCTTCGCTGGAAACACTTAATGAAAAACGAAGGTCGTCGTTTTGAATCTCAATTGTGGGCGTGATTCCATTGACCATCAAAACTGTCGTAATATCCAGCGATGATGCGACATGGCAGAGGGGTACAAAAGAGATTACGAAACGTTTGGGTACAGTCGGTGCTACTTACCTTCCAGGATGGGGATCACGAGATTCCCACTGCTGCTGGTTGGAGACGCTGCAAGGTATGGTTGCCAACCTGTGTCAGTGGCGTTCGTGTTGTCAGTTTCTATGCAGTTTGCCTGCAAGACACCTGGTACTGTTTGAAGTTATGGCGGTCTCTTTGGGGATCAATTTCCATCCAACTGCGATGCAGTTGGAAGCGAGTACGGATAACTTCTGTGTCCGCAGGACCCTCAGATGCTAAGCAGAGTGTCTGCTTGTGAGATTCATCCACGGATGTTACCAGACAAGGGGGCGAGGTGGCTCAGTGGTTAGAGCGCGAATTCACTGAGCGGAAGGTCTGTGGTTCGAACCCGGCCTCTGCCTCTCGACTTCCCCTGTCTAGGCTCGAACAGCCTGGTAGTATCCCAGCCCTTGTGCTTCCTTCGGGTGGCATGGCAGCTAGGCACCAAAAGGGTGTTACAACGGAACTGTTTGTTACCGGACGAACCGCACAAAGCAACTGTCAACGGGTATCCAGTCAAGCAAGGACCGTTCAGCCAGGTGGCTTAAGCGGTGCCGACTTCTGTCTGAGCGGCTTCTGCATCGATGGAGGCGTGCAGTCGTATATTAATGGAGAGTGATGGAACAGTTGGGTCGATGACTCTGCATGAGTCCTTGATTGTGTCTCCCATTCGCAACACACTTCAATATCCAAAGTGTCCAGTGTGATAGTAAGATCAGTTTTCTGTCCTAGTCGAGTCAGAATGCGAAAGTCGAAAACAGCCAGATAGACCAGACGTCGAGCCTTGAAGACTGATTTTGAGATGCCTGAGACTGTCGGCGCCGGCTAACACGTAGGTGTTGCGGTCATGACTGATGCGAAATGAACGGGATCGTCAGTCCTGATGGATGGGCCTACAAGAAGATGTTAATGTAGTGGAACGAGGGGTAATCGCAGTATGTGAAAGAGGGAAGGGAAATGTCAGCAGTCTGTTTTCGCTTATTCACGCTGCTGTGTTCAGCGTGTAGGATGATCCGCTTGACGACACTACTCGATGACCTATGGGACACGGTAGTTTTGTCGGAAGCATAATTGTGCCCGTGCTGGATTACTGGTGGGTCACTCATAGGTAGACAAGAGGACGATTAGGGTCCTAGAACAGAACCTGTGGCTCCAAAGCTCGACTACAAAGCAGCTTTACTTGGTGGGAAATGCCAGTGCACATTTTTAAAATAAGGTCGCCACATATCTTCAACCTGTAATACACAGGGCCAGAAGACTGCGTTGATGAAGCCTCTAACCATTAGCCGACCTTGTATAAACGACTGCAAGTGTTACACGGACTTTTTAGTGTACCTCAGTGCATCGCAAAGTTGTGGTCACCATTGAGCGGATCAGTTTCTTTGTGAGCTCTCGGACGCAATTGCATTGATCAGTTTAGGGCGAATAGACCATGAGAGCCTTCCGGAAATTTCCAAACATGATATTTTACGTAAGGAATAGGGTATGCACCCTGGATTAATAGAAATTGGGACATTGGTGAAACCTGAATGATTTGGAAGGATTATGTTTTGCAGTCTTTGCAGTGCTATACTAGTGCTGAATGAAGAACGCTTGTGCCATATCATGCGGATTTGGGATTCTTGTGATTTAGGGTTTTTTTCGCTAGAGATACTGTCTCCTCAAACCATGTCGCAACCACTGAAACGGTAGGTGGCACATTTTGCACCGGACGGTCTCGCGAGAGTTCATATTATCGTGTACGCCAGTGCGCTAGTAAGTGTGAGCTACTCCTATTCAGCTTTCATCAGTGATATCCGAAACGTTTGAAACCTCGATACAAGGTCAGACCAGGCCACCATTAGCTTGTGCATTTCTGGATTCTTCATGTTTTTTGCTGAGTGTACACCTCACGACATGTGTGAATCTAAAAATTGCTCCTTGCACTAACCAATAATGCTTGTAGCAACAAGTTATTCATTCTTCCTCTACGTGTTTCCCGATTTTGTTCACCGTTTCCTTCTAGGTTTGGCATCGCAAGTGTTTCCGTTGCGAGAAGTGTGGAATGGCTTTAAATATGCAAAACTATCGGGGTTACGACAAGAAACCTTATTGTTCTGCGTAAGTATCCTCTTCTATATTTTGCGCTTATCTTCCAATAGCGTTTTTATCCCTCCGAATCTCTGGCGGACCAAGCCCAAACTGTCTATATTATCCCGTAACCTTCTTTTGTCTAGTTCTGACTAACTTGTCAGTAAATTTTAATAGCTCTCTTTATTTATTAAGGTTGAACAATCTGTCTGCCCACATCCTCATCCTTAGGCTGACGCTCACGTCCTGGCCTCTTGGATTTCTCTTACCTTAGGAAAACAGGCTTTGTACCAACTGTGTCATTCTCTAAGATGTTTATTAAATTGCTCGGTGTACTTATTTTTGTTTAGTTCATTAGTTTTGGCCATATCACTATGATCGGGTGAATGCCTTACGTGTTGATCTATCGAACGTATTCAGTTTTTGAAACAGTCCAAGTGGAATGTACCGTTCTACTATTTTGTCGTCCTTGGTATTCTTCTGATTCATGTCCAATCTTAAAAAAAGGTCTTTTTGGATAAAGCTCCCATTCACATTGATGGGCATCACTCAGTATCAGTGACTGGATGGCACATACGCTCACTGCGGTAGCTAGAGAACCAACGCCCCTTTTGTGAGCTGAAAGCATTGCCGATTCGGTTAACCGGTCATGCTGCAGCATTCCTCCATGGTGCATCTAAATTACAGGAAGTCGTCAGTCATTCGCACGGTCATGCTCTGCTGATGCGTGCATACAATCAATCGGTTGTTGGAGCGTTACATGCCTCCTTTGAACGTCTGCTCTTCTCCTCCGCTTGAAGCCAACTTTACACTCTACTGATACGCACAGTGGAGTATTGTTGAGCAGTGGGATTACCGCTTAACCTCTTCAGCCGGTAATTCGTGCAACTGCCATGCTGAGAGCTCGGCGAGTCCTCTGATGTGTTTATTTCTCAGTTCTAGCGAGCCATTGTCAGCTGTGTCATAATGTGTGAGGCCCTTTTGCGCGGTCCGTTCCATTCCACGGCTGAATACGCCACTTCTCAGCAGTAGAGCTCTGTTACTTCTCTGCAGCTTTGCTTTGACAGTTGTAAACGGGAAACTATTGTAAACTGTACTCAATTGTTATCCGAAGATGCGGCACCCTTGTTTTTTGGTGCAAGAAGAACATTGTTAATTGGAGGGTGATTATGCTCGGGGAGTCTTCTGCTTCTGGCGCGAAACCCAAAAGAAGAAATTTCTAGTCTCACTGTAATCATACCTCTTACGCGGGTATTGCATATTCGGAGGTTGCTTATTAGAGGCGGGGCGGAAATGCTGTAGTGCATTTCGTAGATGGATGGCTTCCTTTCATGTTGCGCCTTCTTTACCCATCACGATGGAGGGTTTTGCTTTCAGAACACTCTGTCAAGTCACATTTCCACACCAATGAATGCCACTCTTTAAGTTACCCAGAAATCCTTCATTGAGCCGCCCGCTATCGAACAATACTTCTATGCACATTGTATGGACGCCACCCACTCCTCATAAGGTTGCTGAAAGCTATTCAACGACCGGTCTCGCCCTTTTTGAGGCGCATCAGGTAGGTGCAGTCTCCGAGTCTTCCTCAGCCTTATATTCTACTTCAGGTGAGTCTCCTTTGAAAACCCAACCGGTATGCGAACTGGTGTATTTCGTTACTTTTACGCACGGTTTTTGCTTTGTCGCCTGAGCCAGGTAGTTTGAATTTGGTTGTCAGCTTAGGGGACACCATAACTGTGTGGTGAGTCAACAGTGCGTTGGTCTTTAGCACTGAGTTCGTACGCATCTTCGATAGCGAGACTTTTGTGCTGTATTTTTTCAATGCATGATCATCCGCTTCTAGCCTTTTGCACGAATTCGCCAAAACCGGTTGAGTGCTTTATCTGGTTATACATAGTGACATTTCGCGCCGTGTTTTTACTGAATTTGATCTACGAAGATATCCATCTAGGTAGATTCTCGAGGTTTTCAATCTCAGGTTATTTTGTCTGGACCAGCTGTACTACACATTTTTATCCTGTGCACCACTGATGTACGTGATGCCTTCTGTCTTTCAGCCATTATCCTCAACCGAAACGATTCACGGTGATCGCTGACACGCCTGAAATGCAACGAGTCGCTCAGAACACACGTGTCCTAAGTGATGTGAGTTCGGCAAATCCCACTAAGTGGAAGTCAATAATCTACTGTCCTAATACTCTTCTCATTGGTCTCTTCTATGCTGATATACTGAAATGCGTTTTATTCTGTGCGGTTTGATGGTCATCTTTGTCACTGACGGGAACAACCACTTTAAGTACCTGCAGTTTAGCAAACCCTTAGGTGATCATTTTGGTGTTTTGGGGTTTGTGTTGACTCCGTATGTGGGCAAATACAAACACCGATAACTTTGAACCACAACACAGTAGAGTTAAAAATAACAGTCCGGTTGTTCAGGGTTGACTTCCTCATGGTACCGGCTACTACGCCGTATATTCTTAGTCGGGGCACAGCATATGAAGTACTGGGTTCATTCTGAATATTAGCATTCGTATTCATCTCATTTCCTTTGGGGACCTCTGTTTTCCGTGGTCCTTTTGGGTGAGTCGGCCCACCGACCCTATACGTTGAATAGGTTACATGTACCTCTAGTTTTGTGACAGTTCATTCACCTGGCGTTTCCTCACCAACAGTCCAAAGAACGTAGTTTCTGAAGAGAGCTGAACATTGGTTTGCAAATTGCGTCTCGTAGAATGCTCCAACGCCGCGTAAGCACAGGTCAGACTGCTGAGTAAACGTTCAGTCGTGGGGTCAATTTGAGATCACCGATGTCTGGTGTATTCAGCTGGAAAGTGACTGACGACGCCGGCCGCCAGTGGTTACTGTGATGTACCATTTACATGTCAGCTAACGATAGCTCTAGCTTGATGAGTGGTGCATCCCGCCAGCACGAGTTGGTCAACTGGTGGACCAGCAATCTAGATTTCTGAGTCACCTTATTGTCGTGTCATTCAAGCAAGGCGATCCGAGCAGGATGTTGTGTTTGAGATTTGGGACACGCCCGTGGGTGTTGTGTTGGGAAATCGACTTCCTCGTTTGTTATTCTCATGCACCCAGATACTGTTTTCGCTTTCCTTCCTGTTTACACTCACTATTCACCAAGCCGTTTGTCATGACAAATAGGGCATGCAAGTAGGTTACGAATTAACCTTGTATGTGTTCTATCCAGCGTAAAGTACCAGTTTGTCGCCTGATGTGACCTTCACAGGGCGAATCTGGTGTTAAACTATCGGACGGCTGTCGTCAGTTTTCCGTGTTTCAAATAGGTAGCCCTACAAAATCTTGATACAGCCCTTCCCTTAATCATGCGATTTGCGAGAGATTCATTCGTTTGAGTCTCCCGTTAACATTGAATGAGGACGCAAGTGAATGATTCGTTCAACTTTTTATTGTTGGTGGGACCTATGAACTGTGCTGCATGATCTCCGTGTAGGTTGGTATAAATAGCGATGGTGAGGTAGTTTTCGCTATGAACGTCACGTCCTGGTGTCTCGGCTCATTTCGAAAATATGCAGTACAGACGAGTGAGCGAATTTTTATGACTAATCTCAACGGTCCACTTTCGTCGGGCAGATCATGGTCGCTGGCACAGTGCAGTATCATTATTCACCCACTAGATACCGGCGAGCGAATTGGTGGCTCATCACTGTTGAGTAAACTTGCTTGAGTAAACTCAAGTTTACTCTCATGATTCTAATTGATGGGGCGATTCAGGTGTCGCGGCAGGACAGCGAGGAACAGGTCGAACAGACGGAAGATGAACGTGGTTGATTAGACCGGTGCACCGACATGGCTGGGACGAGCGTCGAGCAAAATCTATGCCGGATGTGAAGGTCGTGGCAAGCTAGACAAAAGCAGTCGAAGTGGACAAGCGGACGAAGTTCTAGTGAATGAGAGGAATTTCTAAGTCGTCAGATGATATCCAATAACGACAATAATTCGATCCGTCGGAATCCCGATTTAACGTCGGGATATCAGGGCTGTAGCAGCTGGAACTACTGTGGCACATGTTTTTTAGCTGAGAAACTGGACTCAACTATCTCAAATTCCAGGCAAAACCGACCACGGCACATTTTGTTCCGATCTTAGTGTGACATGATGGAAGAAGCCGGAAAGATTGGGCTGCTAACCAGTGAAAATCAGACGCTCGAAGTGTTTCAACTTACCTTATGAATAGTGCATTACGTGTACACGAATATTCTCGGCTTCTGATGTGACAACTCTCTTGAACTCCATCACAGTTAGATGTGTTCAAAAGGCTTTCAGTGGCCAATTGGTTCTTACTTGCAATATGCCAATACACTCAGATGCGCACAACTTACATCGAGGTGCCACAGGTGAGGGCCCTTTTCTACCTCGTGTTTGTCTTTCCAATTGCTGTGCACCAATCAAAGGTCAGGAGTCAATTTGTCGAATGGAGTGTGTGTTTATTCATGCTCGCCGAGATGCGCAGTTTGATTTTTTTATCGTTTCGACTACGAAAACAGGGTTTTGGTTGTTTGTCTTAAATTCAAATCCAGCAGATCAATGGACGTGGTTTTCAGCGATACAAGGTAGTTGTGGAAGTATTTTTTTTCCACAAAAACGACTGTGGGACGACGCGGCATCGGACGGGTTGTGCCTTCCTTCAGGCCTGGCACACTTGTGGTCAATGAGAATAGAATTCTTACCATTTTAGCCTCATGCTTAACAAAGTGCTTTTTGGAGTCTTATCCGAGCCTTGTGAACTTTAAAACCAATCAACTGCATACTGGTTAGAGCTCTTGCGTAGGATACACCTATTCGAGTCTTTGTTAGCATTTGTCCTGTCGTTAAACTAGGACCGTTATCATTTTTTACAGCCCCAACCGGAATCACAATATTTTTGTCCTTTTTCTACCTGTTTTCAGGCCACATACAGACAAGATTTCTATCGCACCAAAGGTCATTCTCTACAAACAATTCAGTCTCCTCAGCTGCCACCCCTCTCACAATCGTCAGACACAGTAAGTCTTCGGTGGTGTTTGCTCCTACCCGGTGTTCGCGTGTGGTCGCCACACAGCGTCCCAAGGGCAGCCGTGCGTGTGCCTCATGTTGCCACGCCCCGTCCATTTTCCTGGGTTCTATTCCACCAGTGTTTCACATCCAATGATTCGATTTTAAGCGCTACTATTCACAAATTGGGGATGAACTTTCCACCAGTTGGATTCGAGTTTGAGCTCAACTGCCGTGTCTGTTGGAGTAATCAGGTGTAAATTACCGTCCTGGGCGGCCACCACGTGAAAATGTATTATTCAGCCTCTCCTTAAGATCGGATGGTCTCCCCCCGCATCACATAACAGGTTGGCGGAGACGTCGTTTTTCTTTCTTGTTATTATCGGTATGGTATTTGTCATCCAGAAATGTATGTTCAAAGAGGTCCATGGAGGCGGTATGTATTTAGGTGGCCAGTTGATGAAGTCACGTGACCCCGATCTTTAACCAACCAACCACCGGGAAGCTTTCGACTGATATTGTCATATCTCAAGGGTATTGTACGATCCTGTGTTAAGGCCGTGATCTCAAAGCAAGGAATAAGTTACTTAGCCTAAACGCACGATCTAGGTGTCCTATCTGA